AACATTTTCCTAATGTTCTTGTGCTTCTTTAGACCAAAACAAAGGAAAGACATATTATTTTGGTTATTTCCAGCAGAGTATGGTATAATTTTCATGGTCCGGCCCACTTGACATCTACCGAGGCCGTATGTGGCCCACAATGTGAAATGAGTTTGACAGCCCTGGGTTAGAGGAAACAGAAGAGCAGATAAAGCAACATGATAACCAATGCAAGTAGGTTAAAGTGATTTCCTGTCTTTCAGAATGAATGTATCTTTCGTGGAGTTCTTGAAGCACACAGAAGTTCACGTTTCATTTCAGGAGTGGATGTAAACATGTCATTACATTGATTGAACTTGAACTTGAAATTACTTTTGAATACAATGTGATTTATGAATTGAATATTTTTTTATATTGATATTGCACTCTACCATTTCATTCTATCTAACTATTTGCATTCATTTCTACTTTGTTACATTTCCAGTGAGTAAAAGTGAAAAAAAGTGCAAGAGTAGATGATGTAATGTATTGTGCTATGTTTCAGGAAGTTAACAAAAGAACATGTTTCCACTAGAAGTGGGCAGTCGTTTCGGGGCTGGGGGTGTGGGGGGTGGGATGTAGCATCCTCGGGGCTCAGAGGGTTGTGTCAGAGTGGGCAGGTCATATGAGCAGCAACACGAGCCACCCCAAGCCGAAGAGAGAACAGCCATGGAGCAGACTGAGAGCCCTCAGCAATACCACGACTATGAAGAGATGGAGAACTACACCATGTGCGACATCTCCGAGTGGACGGCATGCCCATCGCTCATTCCGGTGCTCCTCATGTTCATCTTCATCTTGGGCCTAACCGGCAACAGTGTGGTCCTTTACACCGTGACGCAGGTGCAGGGGAAGCGGCGGGTGGCCCACATCTATATCGGCAACTTGGCTCTGGCCGACTTGGTCTTCACGGTCACGCTGCCCCTTTGGGCGGTGTACACAGCCATGGATGATCACTGGCCCTTTGGGGTGGCCCTGTGCAAGATCATCAGCTATATGGATCTCCTCTCTATGTACGCCAGCATCTTCCTCCTCACCAGCATGAGCTTCGATCGTTACCAGGCCATCGTGCATTCACTGCCCAGCAACCATTTGTGCGCCGGCAGCCACATTGGCGCCTCCCTTTTTTCCGTCTGGACGCTGTCGGGCCTCCTGTCTGTCCCTGCCCTCGTGTTCCGCAACACCCAGCAAGACCCGATGACCAACAGAACTTTCTGCGCCATGGACTACAGCCTGGTCGTGAGCAACAGGCATCAGGAGAGCCAGTGGTTCGCCGGGTTGAGCTTGTCGCTGTCCACTCTGGGGTTTTTACTCCCCTTACTGGCCATGATTGTGTGCTACGGGTTGATTGGCTGTACCGTGATGCGCCACTTCCACATGTGGCGCAAGGAGGACCAACGCAAGTGGCGGCTCTTGAAGATCATCATCACGGTGGTTGTGATCTTCGCCGCCTGCTGGCTCCCCTACCATGTGGTGAGAAGCACGGACGCCCTGTCCGAACTGGACTTGTTCCCGACCTCCTGTGCTTTCCAGCGTTTCCTGTTGCTGGCCTACCCGTACACCGCCTGCCTGGCCTACATCAACAGCTGTCTCAACCCCTTCCTCTATGCCTTCTTTGACCTGCATTTCAGGTCGCACTGCCTGGGCCTTCTTCACCTCAAGAAGTCCCACCAGACACCGACGGAGGTGTAGCACGCCCGGAGGACTCAATAAACACTCGGTGCTTACTTTTCAAAGGACCAAATGTGAAGTAGAGTTTGTGTAATGCAGGACATGTGTTTTTTTTCCCATTCTTGTTCTCTGGTCTTGGCTTGGTATAATATATCTTTTTTTAATCCAATAATATCCATGATGTCATCATTAAAAGTGGCAAATTTGCAATTTGCATATTTCCTGTTCAAATGCAAAGGTGAGATGGGAAGTGTGTCAACAAGCAGCCAGCCTCACCTCAAATTGCAAAGTTGGTAATAGAAAGCAGAAATAGCACACATCAACAGCACCATGTGTTGTAACTGACTGAAAAAGTTCATGAACCTGTTCATATTTTAGACGAACTAATGAACCTTTTTTCAAAGACGCAAATTCTGGCGCCGCTGAGCTGTTTTTTGAATGGTAGTTCATTTAAATTCAAGAGTACCATGATTTGTTGGACTTTCAGGAGAAAATCTGGCTTCATTTGAAATGAATTATTACGGATATACCCCTTAAGATGAATCATCTCTTTTTCGAGGGGGTCCAACATCCAAAATTAATAAACATAACACAAAATCAATGGACATCACAAGCAAAACGTCACTGCCCACAGTTAGCCACGTACAGAAAAAAATGACAAAATACCAATCCAAACAAATTGTGTGCTCATGTAAAATTAAGTAAATAGATCATACATGCACAGGTTACAATAACCATATCAGAATAAATAATTATCGGTAATTTATTTGATATGTAAGTGGTAATATGCTGTATATGTATGTACACAAACAAGCAAAAAATCCCCCCCCCCCCCCACACACACACACAAGTCCATATATACCGTGTATATATATACAAAATCCTCGTCTCACCCTTCGGGTGGTGTCCGTCCCCCATTCAGCTCGGATCCTCTACCAGAAGCCAGGAAGCTTGAGGGTTCTGCGCAGTATCCTTGCTGTTCCCAGCACTGTACATTTCTGGACTGAGATGTCCGATGTTGTTCCCGGGATCTGTTGCAACCACTCATCTAGTTTGGGGGGTCACTGCCCCAAGTGCTCCGACCACCACAGGCACGACTGTCACCTTTACCTTCCAGGCTCTCTCCAGCTCCTCTCTGAGCCCTTGGTATTTCTCGAGTTTCTCGTGTTCCTTCTTTCTGATGTTTCCATCACTTGGGACCGCTACATC